CCCCAAAACCCCAAAACCCCAAAACCCCATGTAATTTATTTTAATCTTTGATAGAATCTAATATGTGTGTGCAAATTCACTAAAATAAAAATCAAAGTCATATACTCAAATTCCAACTAGCAAAGTAGCCATCTTCAGATACAGAATAAATAATCACCTCGTTTTAAGATTTTTTAACGATCTTTACTTTATTAACTATGCCTTGATGAAAATTTAATGATGCTAATTTCTTAAGTGTTTTAGCTGAAATCATTCTTATTCTATGATCAAAACCCCCACTTACCAATAATGCCTTATTATCTATTACTAAACTATCAAGGGTTCCTATTCCAGGCTTTTCTGAATAGGTAGCTTCGGTTTAATTTTAAAAGAAAAGCTGATATGTATCACCATCGCTTGCCTGAGTAAAGTCTAGAGTCTAAATTATTTGAGAATAATAACCAACAGCAAGTTTGAAATCTGCAACGTCTGGCTTTAAATAAATAGTCTCTAGGGATAGTACATGATGAATGTTTGGATCTTATATAACTTTCTAAGTTGAAATTACCTGTAAGCAGGAAAGCTTTCCATTATAATCAAACTTAATCTTAAATGCACCTATTGCTCCACTTTCATATCCAATAAATAGTTCTGGACACGACTAACCATATGAAAAATACAAACAGCTTAGAACTCCCTGAAGAAAAAGATGTTATAAATAAATATAACACTTACATTTGGAGGAATATCAGCAGGCTTACTTTTTGGAATATCTTTCACTTCTTCTTTTTTATCCTTCCCGCTAGTTTTCCCCTTAATTTCTTCTTTACCACTCGGTTTTTTTAATTTACTATCCTCTCCACCTTTTTTCTTTGATTCCTCAGCTGTCTTTTTCTTTTCTTCCTTAGGTTGAGATTTAGGAGCAAATGTCTTCTTCTCTTTTCCAGCTTCAACGATTGATCTGTTTTCAATTTCTACCTCCTATTTAATTCCATTAGCAGATTCATTTAAAAGCCATATTTTAGGGACATAAGGTCTGTCATGCACTGCTGTCGCTATCATAATAAAGTCATTTGCTTCTCCTTAAATTAGAGTAGATGTGAAGGTTGTAAAGGATTAGACAAATGTCTCGATTTTCATAACAGGCTAAAGCTTGTATTAGCTTTTCTAACTTGGAGGCTAATAAATCTCAAGGGTACCTTTCGGATCTTTATATTAGGCAATAATAGCAATCATTGCTTAAGCTAATTTTAACACTGGGAATGCCAGGTACTATAATTTTATAGGATAATAATTGAGGGTATTGTTACTTTTTAGACGGATTATTCGTCAAGGTATTGCTTATCATATACTTTGATTTCTCCTGAATCCATTCCAATTAATATAAACAAATCCATAACCAGCAATGATTTACAGGGAGTGTCATTTTTAATTACCACTGGCTCTGGTATCTACTAAAGTAACTAAGTTTATGGTCTCCTACTTGATCCCTCCATTAATTGAATTATTAATTTCAATTCGCCCTATTTTGCTATTTTGAATAGATGGGGTTTTGGGGTTTTGGGGGTTTTGGGG